AGGGGAAACACGGGGGTGGGGGGTATTTGCCTTTGAAATACAAATTGCCGAGTACCACAACTTTCAGCAGAGAATACAGAAAGTATCCTATGTGTACGAAGATGCAAACAGCTCTGAACTGTGGCCTATGTCTTGCTCCACCAGAGAGCATAGAAGTGGTGTTTCCACTCAGCCCTTTGCTCCACTAGTGGAAGTTGCTGCAACTTGTGCTTCCGGCTGCTTTGGCAAGCTGCGGCCACACGCCACAGCATGCTACTGCCGAGGTTCCTGTGTCAGCTGCGGCGCCCCTGGCGGTCCAATGATGCCGCTAGCGCTACGGGGAGCTACGAAGCGCAACACTCTTACGCTGCATTCTTTGGATCTGTTAATCTGCTGCCGATGATGCGGCTGGTTCAACAGATGCCGGTGCTCCTGCTAAGCCTATGCAGCGCAGCCCCGGTCTACCGCGAAGACAACAGGAATGCACGACACCGGGAGGGCAATGAGCAACATTATGGAGCCCCAGAACGCAAACTTCCACCACGCAGGCTTCTCCGGCATATCGCCGTTGAAAAGAAAACCGAGGGACAACCCTGCAACGCAACAAAAAGAGCCAACCACGTGTACGAGTGATGGAACTGGGGCGGCCGTTACACATAACTGAAGAACCAATGCGCAACCAGCACGAATGTGAGAAGCGTCAGAGTCTAGGCAGATGATGGGGGCCTGACACGGGAAGCCCGGGAACGGTGCATATGCCGCACCGCAAATTAACCCTCCCAGGTGGCCCATCTGGTCGATAGAACCGCCGTTAAGCGTGAAAGCGAAGAGACCCATGAGCAAAAAGAAAGATACAATGTTTGTTAGCAGACGATCCCTGTGTTGCAGTCGCCGCCAGCTCAGCGACAACTCAGCTATTTCCACGCCCATCATCCCAAAACCTGTAGAGAAACAACGAACTAAGCTGGCGCACTGACCGCTTCTGAACAGACGGCAAGCATCAGCAACGGACAAGCGTGTAGGCGCATAAATGCATGCATTGGCGCAGACCCTGCGCGCTTTAAGCACCCATGCAGATAGCTACGTTGACGGGTATTCCTCTGAAAATTCATATGCACGCATGTACTTATGCTAATTGAACGTAATCACACCCAGGCGCCTCAATTTGCGCCTGCACACAGGTCACCGACCGTTGGTAGGTAGCGCCTGTGCGTCTAGCACCAATTCAGCATGCGCGCCTCGTACTAATCAACAGGACCACAGGATGACTTCAGTAGCTAGGTACGGGTACTAAAGGCTTGCCTGCGGTGCTGGCACCGACTTTTACTGCGCCGCAGAAGAGAGCCGCAGCTGAGAGGAGGTTGCCGTACACAGCGGAGGAGGCGTAAAGCAGAGCAAATTTAAGATATCCGTAGCGTCGCTCAATGCCAAAACCCATCCGCATCTGGAAGAATACATTAAAGGCCACGTGAAGTAGATTGGCATGCAAAAAACTGGCCGACAGCAGTCTCCATACCTGGCCCTTAGCCACCAAAGGGGGTACATTGGCCCCGAATGCGACCAAAATTGCGGCTGTGACGATGCATAAATAAGCAAAAGCACAACACACTTACGGAGCCTTCATTTCACAACGAGAACCCAGTCGAGATGTAGGGAATGGAATACAGGGGCAGACATAAGTCAAAAATAAGGGGGAAGTGGAATAACGAAGAGAGGCAGCAGAAGGGATGAGGGGGCCCAGGAGCATATTCAAAAGCGTGTCGCTTAAAAGCCCCCGAGTAGAGAACCATACAAAACGGAAGCATGAAGATAGATCTGCTGAGCACGGCTCTGTTTTGGATTGGACAGCGCCGGGGAGCCTTACTGGATGGGACAAGAGGCATCTCTGAGTCGATGGCGAGTGTAGTAATAAACACTGCCCAGTCCGCTATTGATATAAGAAGCAGCAAGGAGCGCAACCTGAAGTAGGGAAAGAGCAATTCGAGCACCCTCAGCGCCGTCGTCCGGCGCATAGAGGCGGGCTCCCCACTTGTTAAGTTGCTATCGGTGCTGCGCGTTTCAGCTGCCATGGCACACATATCAGGACAACGAAACGGCGAAAAACAGTTCAAAAATCCTGCGTAGTCAAGGGACGCTCTTGAACGCAGCTGAGAGAGCAAAGGAGCAGTAACTGTGCCGAGCCACTTCCTGCTAGAGCAGCATTTCTACAGCAACATATCGGGGAGCAGCGCAGCTTATCGCTTCACTTGAGAATTTTACAGATGCCGCAATATTCAGACGAAGGTCGCTGCAGCCTGCTCACCTCTCAGCAAGGGTGAGCGCTCACCCGTCTCCACATCCCTGCTGCGCTGCTCATCCTCCTTGCGGAGGTCCGACAGTGTTCGAACAACCATGTTCTCGTCGTTGTGCCGTGCTGATATTGCTGCTTGCGCCGTTGGTGCTGTGCTATAGCTGCTGCTAGCCCGAAAACACTCCGACGGTTTTCAGAGCAACCGAAGCCCAGGCTGCGTCCACAAGGCCGGCCTCGTAACGTAGCGAGTAAGCAGAAAACGCCAACGTCCAGCTGCCAACCTACATGTAGTTGCTAGTAAGCTGCATAAACTAGAATCCTGCCTTTGAAAACCACGGATTAGAAGATCCGCCCACGTGTGCGCACGACTTCCAATGGTGTGGCAGCAGCCTCACTCCGGTAACAAGGCCCCAGCTTCTCAGAAAGTTAATGCGCAACAGCTCACATGGGAAGCTGTGTTTTAATCGAAATGATGAGGAAGTGCCTGCTTGAAAATACCGGAAGATTGAAAATTGCACTTGCCGCTGCTGCTGCAACCCTGCTTGGCTGATACAGCTGTCCGCCACGGAAAACGCCGCAAAGTGCCACCCTACGGCAGGGGGCGTGAAGTTCACATACCCTTAATTAAACAAAATACAACGATCTGTATAAATTATGTTCCTTAGCCGCGTCTAAAAACTTAGTTGGGGTAGTTGGATGTGGCCTGCTGGTCTCCAGGCCGTATGGTCACTGAGGCCCCCCCGTTGCTGTAGATTCGGGCATGCGCAGTTAACAATCGGGGGGACGGCATCGCTCGCCAGCAGAATTCGTTAGCAACTGGTGAATGCATAATTAGGCATTTGAATCCTTGATGATAACTAGCTGCGACGCAAGATTTGCCGTGTATGCAACTGGAGTAGATATCACCGCCAACACTATAAAAGGTGTAGGCACAGGCTGCTGGATGGAGAGCAGCAAAGTTCCAGAGGAGGATAAACAGGACTTAGGCTACACGTAGTTGTTTTTTTAGTGTTGTTGGCAATTCCCGGATGCTGTTGGTCCCCGTTGCAACGAAAGGTGTCCTGTGTGCTTAGTCCTGTCGGTTCCGCTCGTGTTCCTATCTAATTCTCTCTCACGCTATGCTAAAGTGCCTCAGCTACGTTGTTTCCTACTGGTCTACCTGAGTAGCGTTCCTGCCGTGGGGTTCCATCCGTGGAGGTGACTGCGCTGGATCCACATACACGGCGTGCAGCAGGCCGCATTACACTCAACTCTTTGCTGAGCATCGATTCACTGGTCATTGCAGAACTGATGTTCTTCCAACATCCCATAGAGAGGGAATCTACTAGCAGCAAGTGTATATCCGTCGCCACGGATTCCCGAGGGTGTCTCTGTTCAGTAGCATTATGGAACGTATGCTTCCGAAACTTAGGTGAGCGATCAGCCAATAAAGGGCCTTGGGGCAGTACCTTTCCATGACAGCTTCATTTCTTTTCCTCGCAGGTGGTTCTTGTGAATCTTGGTGTGCAGTTGAGACAGTATGCTCTATGCTATGTAGAGCGAAACGTTTTGTAGGCACTGTCTATATTAAAGTGTCCTCGCAAATGGGCGAAGCAGCATCATAACGGTTGGGCCCAAGTGTTCTGAAGTGTTGGTCCAATGTAGGCGCAATGACGCACCGCATCAAAGCAGCACGGACGTCGCTGCATGGCGAGGCAAAAGGGGTTGTCATGACGGACTCCACGCCATACCATCGGACCCATGTAGCCCGCTGCCATTGCTCATATTTGCCAGTGTGGAAGGCGCGGTACCCTACACAAATCGTAGTGTACTGTGGTCTCAGGAGAACAAATAGCCTATGCAAAAAGCTGAGATATCTGCAGCGTTTCAAGTTGTTTAAGTGGGTGAGCAGAAGGGGAGAAGAAACTTCCGGCGTCAGTCAGCCAGAGGCTAGGATGCAAACTAAACTAGTCTATCTGGAGAAAAATGGTGGGCTCCCTATATCCTGCATTTAACTAGGGCGCTTTGCTTCGCGCAGGCAAGAAACCTGTAAAGATACTAGCATGCCTAAAGTATCTCCAAAGAAACGTGGGGAACGACAACGTTGGGTGGCAGAGCAATCAATTCCGCTTCCCCATTTCCCCCCCACACTTCGAACACAAGGCCGCTTGATTTATTTAACATACCTCAATCGCATGACTGCCAAGATCAGGGGAAATATTCAAATATTTGGACCTTGGACAGTCTCCGAACCCGTGAACACCTGGGGGACGTCAGGGTATCCCTGCTCCCGCCTTAATACGCTCCCTGATCATCTGGGCACAAGATGGCGAAGCACGATCGCAAGATGCCAACTGCGTGGGGATTGGGGAGGGTTGAAACTGCAACGGCGGCGGGGACAGCTTTTCAGTGTAGGGCATCACTTCCGTCACGGCAGGGGATAATCTTGGGTTCCAAGAATTGAGTTGAAAACCTGAAACACGGCGGGGCCTCATCCAATAACTACCTTGGCAACGGTGACTGCTGTGACACCGTGAGCATTCGGCAAGCAATGCCTCGTGGAACCAGCCAGAGATATGCTAGGCACTGACGCCGAATAGTTGATTCGTGTAAAAGCCCACGGTGCAGGTGCACATATCGCTCAACCTGACGGAAAAGGTAGACTGCACTCCACCGGTAAACAGCTCAATGACGCCAGATCCAAAGTTTTTCCAAACGTGGGGGGGATTGGCTTCTTACAGATGAGCCATGGTTAGATGAGTGCAAGAGCAGCGGCAAACATGTCGTCAGGCGTGCTTGTACTGTAGGAACTTTGCCGCAGCTCAAGGACGTCCTTAAGATAATCTTCATTGAGACCTATGCGCCCCAGGACACCTTCCGTATCCCAGTCTTGAATCCATGAGCCAAGTGATTCTGCATCAAGGGTATATGTTTCTCTGTCAATGATTGTCCTGCCAAGGACATCCATGAAAGGCGCCACGCCAAAAATCGTCTCCCCTGCGTGCACGATATTCACTTGATCCCAAGGCAACGACAAAGCGAACCTTTGGAAGGTAGAGTGTACTTCCCGATCGTTTTCCAGCTGCATTGTCTCCAACTTGACAGACGCGGCTAGCCGTTGTGCCAAGACCGTAGGAACCGTCCCTGCCGTTTCTAAAGCACTCGCGCTGACACGAAACGCACGCTTTTTAAGCATCAGCATAAAGTCATCGAAGGTAGCTCGATCAGGATCTTTCTCAAGTATATCCACTGGAGGCAGTGCCGCCGCTTCTCTGCCAAGCAGCACTGAGCCGATTCCGGTGGTCTCACACAACTCTTCAATTTGTTGCAGCAGCGAAATGCGGCTTGAAGCTGCGCATAGCATCGCCTTGACAAGAGCTATATCCATCGCGGTGTTGGCATTTGCTCCGGGAGTAAGCTTCCCAGAACGGGCATCCATCTTGCAAAAGGATGTTTGCCGCCTATAAAAATCCACGGGCGTACTGGCGATCCCCCCGGTAGGATTAGGCATATAATTGCGTACAAATGCTCCTTGGACCGTCTCCGAACTCGAACTCCATGCCTTTTCAAACCTTTTCCATGCTTCTTCTAGGGATTTTAACTCCTCGGCTAAGTCTTTAGGGGTCTCAGACGTACCGTCCTCATCTCCTTCTGCATCGCCTTCACCCGCCAGAATGTCCTGACTTCCTTCGGTTGCCGCACCCTCCGTCGATCCTTGAGCAGCGTTGGAAAGAGCTTCAGTCAATACCCTGTCCACAGATTTTAGGGTTTTTAGTGTCCTTCTGGGCCTACGGGTTTCTCTGCGCCTGGGGCTTCGAAGGGGTGACGGGACTTCATTTGAAGCAGGGGCCCCACTGCGTCCGGGGACTGGGGGAGAGGGGCTTTCCTGAGCTGCAGATTCGCTTGTGGATTGTGTTGGAGTCGTGGGTGCCTTAATAGCAGGTGAAGCGTCTTCTCGCCGTTTGATATTCAGAAGGTATCCCCCGAATGCAGTAGCTACGAAGAGTGCAAGCAATAACGCTGCTAAAATTGCCGATTGCGTCTTCTTGGCCACCCTGGAAGGTGGAATAGCGTTATTTTCCCCTTCAGTGGAGCCGGTTGTGAGCCCCGGTCTCCCCCCAGTACCCTGTATCGCATGTTGCGTTTGATCTTCCCATGCAGGGAATTCAGCCGCATCTTGGTCCGTGACTGTTAGCGTATGCAGCCCAGGAGAACCATCTGGAGGCTCTCGCCGCATTTTCCATTAGGTTCAGTTGTGTTTCTCAAGAGGCAGCCTCCCGAGTCGCCCCGGTACAGGGCCCGGCAATAGAACGGCCCCGGAACTCACACAAGAACGACAGAAAATGTAGTATAATGGTGAACAAATACAGAAGTTGGCCATGTCGTCCCCGTTTACAGGAAATGGCGTGTGGATAGTGCCAATAAGGCACCGGTGGTAGTGTTTGGCGGGGACTGCGTGCATAGTAGGGCAAGTCAGGCGCTTGGAGAGAAGTCCCAATTCTGTACCTCATAACCCCCGAATATCTGAACTCGTGTACGTTTGGTGTTTTTGCTTGTTTTTTGTTCCATTTTGGGGGTGTTTGCAACAGTTGCCTCGTGTGGAGGTGGTTTCGGGGTAGCTGCGCCTGCGCCTTCCGCCTCATTCAAATGTTAGATACAGCTTGTTGTTTCACTTCACTGCTGCGAGCTCACTTACTACTGTGAGCATCCAGCTATTTGTTAGCTGAGTTTGTTTCAACCCTTAGTCGGTTCCATCGTGTCGTAGCAATGCCGTCTCGTTTGCACCAATTCTTCGTCTGTGGACATGCCGGCCCTGGTTTAGGGTGGCTTCCCTGCGGAAAACCTCTTCGTATTCCCACTTTAAGTTGAAAGCTGTGAGCCGCATCATTATTTTTCTTGGGTGCAGCATGCACGCCACAGGGCGTTAGTTACTCGCTGTGTCCTCCGGCATGTGCTGCGGGGTCTTTCCGAGGCGGCTGGATGCATCCATATTTGTGCACATATTGGCTAGCGAAGGCCAAAGAGGTGCTTAGCAGTTCTTCGTCGTGTTAGGGTATACATCGAAAACTGGCTGTAGTGTGGTTCACAGCCTAGCCCATGTGGGGTTGGCACGTATATTTCTCCTTGCTGGCACGCTGGCTCCTGAGGGCCAAACGGGCTCAGCAATGACCTAGAGTATTAGTACATGAAAAGATTGGGGTTTGGGTGTACTTACACGCTGTGTTGCCTTGTAGCAGGGTTTATACCTAGGTGTGATATAACAAGGCCCTCGATCTTACCAGATGCCGTCGTGAGCGGCCATTGAACTATCCACTCAATATATGAGTCGCCGAAAAAACAATGAGCACCGTTCAGTTCCCAGGTGTCCTCGTCACAGAAGCCCAAAGGCCTGGGGCTGGAGCGGAGAGGAGAAGGCCTTTCGTGAGTCTTCGCATGCCGTGCTGCAACTAGCGCTGCAAGGCGACCCTGCACGCAAGCACAACCCCTTTTGGTGCACGCACTAACACTGTGGACAGTTGCTAAACACTTTATTGGCCCCCAGTAGCTCGCCTGCCCGCAACCAAAAGCTCGTGTACCAACCTCAACCAGGCCATGCTAAAATGAGTAACGATGAAATATTACTAGTATTCAGCAGTGCATCATCTACACTCTTACTGGGCCTTTTTATTACACCATAGAACAAAACGAGTGACCCCAGCGCGCATTCATTCTGGAAGAAAAGCCGGTGTCCACACGCGCATCCCAGATCGAGCCCCACTATCTTAAATGCACGGATACAAAGATGAATTATCTTCGCGTTTAGTGGTGTATTGAACAGCTAACGCATGCAGTGTGGTTCATGCGCAGCTTCATGCTTACATTTCCACGGCAGGAAAGGACGTAGCGCACTGCTGCGGCAAGGAAAATTCATGGCTAGCCTTTGTTGCAGGTGCACGAAATATCTCGATAGTTCCTGTGTATGCAATTGCACGATCTTTCTGAGCAAAGAGAAGCCGGCCGCGGGCGGTTGAGGGCCCTTCAACCGTTCTCCCACCAGCTGTCGTGCAGACTGTATTTTGGTCGGCATATCTTCGAGTGCTTGCCTCCGGGACCAAGTATATCAAGTAGAACTTGTCGAATGCATGCATTCGCATTTTATTTGGCGTGCGTGAAATCGTCGTCCACTTAGTCTATTCAGCTAACGAATAAGACTATGCACAGAGGTGTTGTTGTTGGAAGGAACACCTTGTCCAAATGAGTTAATGAACACCAACCAACCAAGCACCTGATATTCCTTGAAGAACCACAATTGTTTGATCCGATGGAATATGCAGCATAGGCCCCACAATGGGGCCCAGTCGTTCCGAACAACTCGTGTCCCAAACCGTATGATGATTGAAGTCTCCACAAACGAGGCAGGAACAGCAGAGCTTTACGATGCCCCTAAAACAGTGGCGGCGGCTTCCTATGCAACAATGTTCATGTTAAAATAAGCAAGGATGAACTAATATTAGTACTCAAGTAGTGCATCATCTGCATCCATACATAGCCCTTTAAATGCACGGCAGCAGAACACAAGGAGCAACCCCAGCGTGCATTCATTCTGGCTGCTGGGGATGCTTGTGTTGTCTAGCAAACCCAGCAACCCCAGTGTGCAAAGCGAGCAACCCACTAAGCATCTATATCCATGCTGAAGTGAATAACGATGAAATAATGCTAGTATTCATTAGTACACCTTCTACACCCGAGCAACCCCAGCAGCCACGAATGGACGCTGGGGTTGCTCGTTCTGTTCTACAGACGTGCACTTAAAAAATGAGCAACGACAAAATAATTATAGTATTCATTAGTGCATCATCTACCTCTCTAGCAAACACGATTACAGAGGAGCGACGCTCTAACGGGCTATGAGGTGCGGGGCCGACGGGACCCAAAAATGACTTGATAGACGGAAGCCCTGTCGTATGCAATCCTATTTGCTACGGAAGTAGACGATACACTACAGGACAAGTCCCTTGTTAGTCTGGCTGCCTTCGTGTTCAGAAAAAAAAACTACACGGTCTCTGCCTTTCAAGCCAACTTCGGGTCCAGTCGGCCCCGTGCCTCATAGGCCGTTAGAGCCCCCGCGCCTCTGCAATCCTGTTTGCTAGGGAAGGTGTAAAGCAAGATGTCACCCTGCCGCGGTGAGCGGCACTAACTGAAGCTCCAAGACGAATGGGCCAAAAACGTGAAGTTGTTGGGAATGCCTGCCACGGGGCTACGTAAGGGGTCGGCAACTGCCGCTTGCATCACAATGGAAACAATTAAGATTGACGACAACAGTGGTAGGTAAAAACCTCTGTGATAGATGCAGATGTACTGCATGGGTAACCTTCGATGACCTCGGACGCTCCTCCGACGAATTAAGCAGGAATAGATAAAAGGGCCAATCCGGTGATTAACTTGAAGACAGCGGCTGAGTAGCTGGATGAGACATTCTCCTTTGCCTCGGATACTCATTTGGTAGATGCCGCTGATCCTGAAGATGAAGCTGCTAATCAAGTGAAGTTGTTGGAAATAGCAGCTGAGATGCGAGAGAACGCATCGGCGACCGCCCCTGAGAGCTAGGAAGCGCCTAGACTCAAATATATGCTGAAGACGCTGGGTCCACTGCATGACCGTTCGTTCTACATGCAACGGGAATCCTTGGCCTTGCTAAAACCGCGTCCCCCGATGAAATCCCCGAAATTTTTGCAGAATTTCGCAGTTGATGATTGATGAGCGTCTAGCTAGGACGGATCCTGGAAATGCCAATGCTCACCTTGAGTTCTTGCTGGCATTGTAACGCCTGTAGCGAGTGGGGAATTTGATCATTTTTGGCGGGCAAAAGGAAAAACGCATTTCCCCTCAGCGGACATTTTGCTGCAAGACTCCGATCGGACCTTTCTCCCGTTCTTACTCTATACGTCCCAGTGGCCACATACAGCCGTAGGAGTAGCGTCTATACAAGAACCACAAGCCTCCAGGATTCTGGCAATGCGACGAGGGAGGAGCACCTCGTGCGCAGTTGATTTATGCAAAAAAGCCTTGATATTTTCGCATGGTCTGGGCTGCATATAGCATACTTTGAGGGATCAGTCGTTTCTGGTTCTAGACTCCAAGCCAGCTCCGCAAAAACAAGAACTGAAGCAGTTGGTTTAAAACCAAAAATGCTCGGAAAGCTCGGCCTTAGATGATGGATCGGGTGAAGCACCGCTCGAATATAGCGGTGGAGCCAGAGAGGCAGATGCACCTAGAAAAGGTTGGAGAACAAGACGGTGCAGCAGCAGGGATTCTTCAACTAGTATGTTCTTCGAAAACATCACAGTCCATCTTCTGTTAAAACGGAGCCCCTGAAGCTTGTTTTCAAAGCAAGCCGGCGATTTTTTTAACTCAATGCATCTCTTTGAACCAACAGTTGCAAGCAAGCAGCGCTCCTTTAGCATAGTATTTAACCCACATGGACGTTCGCGAGCAGTGCTCTGTAAACAAAAACTGCACTAGATGGTATTTAGCCTGTCTGATTGACCGAACCAGACTAACGATTACACCGACGCGGAGCAGCTGCTGGGGTGTCTTGGGGAAGATTTTTGCGGAATACATGTTCTAGTGCTGACTCTATCCTTGCATCATACTTGCACTTAACGCGAAATCATGGGATGCTCTCCCTTCCCTCTCACACCCCTGCCATCAACTCCACTACATTTTGGAAGATCCAGGTCGCTCTACGCAAGGAAACGCAATCAAAGATCAGTAAGAAGACGCCACCGTGGCCATAGGGGAGAAAGTAAGGGTGTTGTGGCTGAGCTTCGAAGTCTTATTGGCTAAAACCTCCCGACACGAGACAAACCTTCGAAGTTCACACACGGTGCAAAATCCAAGCTGTGCCCACGCCAATAGTCTCCCTATGGCATTGCAGTCATCGCGCTTGCTCTTCTTGCTTGTTCATCCCGAAGCGACAATGCAAGCACCAGAGGCCTTGCCGCTCCATTCGTGCTACGGGCCTGAACTTTGGTGCCTCGTTTCTCCCCAAACCGGCGCGTGCAAGCGAAAGAGTTTTCGTCTTGAGAAGGCATGTGCATATGCACCATGTAAGCAATTCAGTTTGCTCCGGCCTAGTCTAAGCCGCCCCATCGCCTGGTCTCTCGACAGGTCTGGTTTGGGCGCTTTCCCCACGGGATGAAGCGGGCCCTAGGTTGACTGCAGCACCGAATACAATAAGTCCTACATTTTTCAGTTGTTTTGACTCAGCATTTTCGGAACATCAATCTTTCACCTCAATGGAGCCGTGAGCAGCATCATCATTCTCTGGCAGTTACGGTGACAGCGAGCACTCTGCACACCTGGGGGGCACCCCTGCTTCTAACAAAGTTCACACGCATATATTGAGACGTTTCCATAATTTCGCTCTTAGGAAGTGGGTGCTTACTCGTCCTTGCTCTGAGGGAGGGACTAGTCATTGCTCTTCTAGGTGCGCATGCCATCTCGATTCGGCGGCGCAGGACCTCTAAGCGGCGGAGGTGGTTTACGGCGAACAAATGCCATCCTCGGCTCATTTTTTGTAATCATTCCCATATATGTGTGTGGATCTGCAACCAACGACGAGCAAGGGAGAAACTTGTTGCCCTGTCTCTCGCCAGGTCTGTTGAGCTAGCGTGCCTGGCAGAGGCGGATCATGTCGTAGTGGTGTGCTGATAGGGAAACAAATGTATTCTGATTCCACCTCTGAGCGGGCCTGCTGCTTCTTCTTTACCCTCAGACACGTCATATGTCCCCTGGCAGACCATCTGATACGGGAGGCCGTTCTCCGCTGCATCCAGCGTTGCTGGTTGTACTGCAGTAGCTTAAACAACTTAAAGCAGCACTCCCACGAATGTGAAAGAGCTCGAAGTGTCTGCGGACGCACCAAACTGGCTTGTCAAAGCATTTGAAGCATGAGTATCGAGGGTTTTTCTCCAGTGCAGCTGTCCTTGTCGGCGGGTGGCGCGTGCGGTGTAGCACGGGGCCTGCGTGCTGTGTGAAGCGCTTGCTTACTCGAATAATAAGGCAAACAATGCATGACGCAGGCCATTTGCGGGTAGGAGGAAAGGAAGAACTTCAAGATGATTCGAATGCGGGTGCTCCGTCAGGTGCTCGTCCTACTGCACCTTTGGAACGCGACGCCGTCGCAGCGGTGAATGCCGAGGCGACAAGCGTATTGCAAGCAGCTAGGCAGGCGGGAAACGACGAGGACGATCACACGCAGGAAATTGATGCTGCAGAGTTAAGGAGCTTGCGAGCGCGGGCACGTGCCTCATCCAGTTCACCCGGGGAAACCTCAGATGGTAAAAGGCCACGGGCTGCGGCTCCAGGAGCTCCGAAATCAGAACCTGTGGCAGATAGTCCCCGCGCCAGCGATCGAGTGTTGCTTCAAGACGAGAAGCAGATGCATCCAGTTGAAGCTGCTGTCTCCGCAGTTATCGCTGCTGCTGCTGTTGCAAAGTCAGAGCCTGAACAGGAGGCTCATCCAAAAATGAGTCGGGAAAGCGGCCGCGCCTCTTCTCTACTGTCTGTGCTATTGTCTGCTGTCCTGAGGCAACTTCTGCCGTGGGTGCTGCCCTCTGCACTTCAGGGTGCGTCGGCGGCAGATGTAAAAGTAAGTATATCAAAGAAGCAGCTGACGTTAAGCGGAGTGTCGCTGCAGCCACAGGAGCTAACAGCCCTTACCGGAGCCCCTTTGCACCTGCTTCACTGTAGCATAGGGGAATTACAGTTGCAGCTGGGGAGGCAAGAGAAGGGTGGTGCTGTGGTAACTGACCCCCGTGCTAATGTGGCTGCGTCCGCCCTCGGCCGCAAGCTACATGGCGATCAGATATTCGAAGAGGATGCCGCCTCTCCTCCAAAACCAGCAGTTGCAGTAGATGAAGCGGCAAAATCTGTGGCTAGGGAGGAATTATTGTCCCTGTTGCTTTCGGTGAAGGATGTGATTGTGGTGTTGGTGCCCACGAGTCCCCACGAATGGTCAAGGCAGCAGCTGCTGGAGCTGGCTCTGCAAAGGCGGCGGTCGTTGCTCTACAACATGGACAGCGAGCTCCAGCAGAAGCAGCTGCAGACGTGTAGTGGTTTTTCCCCGTGTCTATCCAGCCTCATATCACATTGGATAGATCGTAACATACAGTGGGCCTCTCTAAACCTTACAAATTTGCACCTCCGCATAGAGTTTCTTTTGCCCCACTGCAGTGGCAGCGGCAGCGCACCTTTTGCGTTTGGGATGCACCTTGAAGAGTTGCGCTTGCGCACCCTTCCATCTGGGGAATCTAAAGATTCACGTCCGCGTGCAGCACGTGGAGATCCGCAAGAAGGCAATAATCCAGAGACTGCGGCGTCATCGCCTCACCAGGCTACTGGGGCCACTGCTGAGCCATTGCCCCGCAACGGCACCAGTGGGAAGTGCGGCAGCAACACCCAAGAAAACGTTTGCAGTGAATTTGCTATTAGGGGCTGTTCGATGTACACCCAGAACGAGGTGCTACTACTGGCACCACACACTTGCTCTGTAGCAGAGAATACCGAAAGGCTCTGCGCAGTGCTTGCAGAACAGCAGCATCAACGCGGCTATTCAAGCTCACAGCAAGCAGACGAAGAACAACCACAGCCTGACGAGAGGCATCAGGTTCAGATGCATTGCCATATGCCGGCAACGATGTGCCGTAAACAGCAACAGTCACGTACAACGGCCTGCAGGTGCAGGTGTCTTCTTGCTCCCGTAGGGATGCATGGCTTTCTTAGGAAGAACGTTATGATCGCGTGTAGCGAGGAGAACGGTGACAGAAGAAGGTCAGGAGTGGCTTTGCGGCAAGGAGATAGTAGCTGCGATAGTGCCTCCGCATTCCCCAATGCTAATGAAGAAACCTCATCTGCAGATCCTGCTTATGTTGTTTCAGTTGAATCCGACAGCCTCGAAGTGATTCTTTGCCCAGAAGTCGTACGAAGCCTCCGATGGCTGACAGCCAACCTTGAGCTGCATCGCAAGGGTGTGGACGCGGCTGAGTCAATCCTTAGCCTAGTCAGGCCCTTTGTGCCCTCTTGCACAGGTGCGTTACTGCACAAGAAGAGCAGGAGCTAACTGGAGCAGAAATATTGACAAGAATGGGATAACCACTCAATATTCTCTAGTTGTGCAAGCTAGCGGTAACTGCGCACTTGTAATGCGCGCCTTCGGCTTTTCCAATCGAATTCCGTGTCCAGCTTCTGCTTCTGTTGCCCCGCGCATGTGTTTCAGTTCTTGGAAATCCGAGGATTTGGTGGCGCTTCGCAATCCGTGCAATATGCCGCCTGCAGCGCGGCAGACACAGGAGCGCATGCACGAACAGCAACTACTTTGCTATGGGTGCACAGTTTGATATCTGCGGGGATGGGCTGCCTGTAGAGGAGATTCTAAAGCTACGGCTCTGCACTGAGAAAGCTGCGGCGTACCGTCGCCTACGACTGCTGCAGCTGCAAGGCAAGCTGACCCAGCAGCAACTCGACCAACTGCTTCGCCTTAGGGATTTGATTCCGCTTCCTCAGTTGTTGCAAGCTCATGCGGCTTCAATGCAAGACTTCATGGACCAGCAGAGAAAGACAGCAGCAGCAAGAACTGCTAGGATGTGGCCGCACTGGTTCCCTGTGTGGAAAAAAGGTTCGCCCGAGCAGGGATTTAGGACGGGAATAGAAACACGAACTACCGGAGAGGTCAATGCAGCAGCTGGGGCTGATCACAAAAGCTATGGTTTTCGATCGCCTGTACCTCCCCTTTCGCTGCAGAGTGTTATAGATCAGCACAGGACTGAGCGGCAAATCCACCAGGAATCGAGGCAGCAGACACCACAGAATGGGGGGCACCAGCAGCGGTTGCAAAAAGAACGACAGGGAGTTTATCCGGAAGGGGAAGAATGTCTAAGTGACCTTGATGACTTCTTCGATGCCTGCTCTCAGGTACGGTGTGCTATTTTCGTGAAATTCACCCTTTTGCGCACCTGTTGAATTGGCGGGGTGCTGTGTGAAAATCCTTGTTCTTGTTTACCTGTTCCGTCATGGTTTGTAGACGGTTTTAGTGCTGAATGTTGTTGTTGCTGCTGCTGTCGCTGATATTTCTGTTCCTTCAGCCTGCGACTGCGCGCCTAGGTAGCAGCGGGCGGCTCCGCGCAGGGTCTAAAGAAGGCTCTACGCCTGCGCTGATGCTTGCAACTTCGAAGCCAACTCAGCAACAAATGCAAACACATGACGGCAAACCACCAGCAGAAGAGCCTCCTCCTTTGCCTTCCGAAATGGCTGCTTTGGAGGGTGTGTGCACTGGTGAAGCACCATCTCAGGGGGGCAGTGAGAGTGGAGCAGTGGCGGCCCCACGTGCTGCTGTAGGTCCAGCCGCCACAAAGAGCAGCATTGAGAACACCCTAGAAAGCGGGGACGACTTGTCTGAAGGTGGTGATATCTTCTACGATTGCTTGGACCTCCAAACTCCCCGTTCCACAACACTGGCTTCTCGTGACGGTGGTGCACCAACGGATACTTCAAAGGCGCCCATAACTCCATTAAGTACGATTCAAAACTCATTGCTACTACCCGCTACTCCGAAGGGAGTCGCGCACACGATGTCAATCTCTATAGTGCTGCGTTCCGCTTCTTTCTCGTGCGGTGTGGATGAGGTGAAGTATTCCCAGGCTGAGTCCCAGCCAGAACGGCGGAACTCTTCGCAGAAGCAGCAGCAAGGAAGACAGCAGGCAGTGGGTAGCATTATTTTGGGCCGTGTAGGCCCTGTTCGTGTGAGTGGTACGATAGGCACAGAGACGTTTCAGGGCAGCGTCTCTGTAGACAGCTTGGACGTCAGTTTCAACAAGTGGGGCCTTCACTGTGAACAGAAATTGGTTTTTATGGACCGTGACACCGGAAATAAGCCACTCCTCTCCTTGCGGGTTTCTCAAGACTCCGTCAATGCACCGCCTGCTGCGATCGTGGTTGACGGCGGTTGCTCCCAGGAGTCGGAACCTAGCACCTGTTTTAGGGACGGTGGCAAGGAAGGTTCCGAACAATCCTACCTTACTGTGTCGCTGAAAGTGCTTCGAGTGATTTGCATTATCGACCCATGTGCACTGAAGGAGACTGCAACCCTCAGAAAAGGATTCAGTAGCGCCGCGGCTGCTGGAGAACGAGTAGCGACTGAGGCATCGCAGCAGTGCAGCCTTCTGCAGCTGCGTCGATGCACTATGCCAGATCACCAACCCATCACGAACGTTCGGGCTGGCAGCGTTTGGGTTGAATCCACAACAGGTAATACTGGGTTGCATCGGCAGTTGCTGCACCTCTCTCCTAAGCGCCAGCAGCAACTTCGTGACGGGGCATCTGTGCGGTACGCGGTTGTCGTGGAGGCTCCAACGCTTATTGTCCCCGCTTCAGAAGGGCGGGCAATTTTGTGCCATCTAGGCGAACTGCGAGTAGGCACTGAAAGCTCTTGCTCTGCTTCCTTCTTGGATCGTCTGTTTGGTCCATTGTCTCGATTCAACGGGTTTTCGTCATGTGCTGTATTCACCCAGGCCTCACTTTTGCTTTCATGCTATTGCAGAGACATTGCTCGCCTTTTGCATTTCCCTTAGGGTTCGGCTGCCATTGCACGTCCTTTCCGATTTGCAGAGTCCGATTCATTTGCTGTTTCAGTCTCTGTGCCATCTTGTCTTAGTAGATTGCCTGTAGGAGCGTCAGAGCTGACGTTCACAATTGTCTGTGCTTCCCTCTAACATCCGTGCATGCGACATAGGTCTGCAGTGCCCATCTGGAGCAGGAACAACTTCGTTGCACCCAGGATAGAGACGTCAAAGTATCGGTTGGCTTCAGATTTACTGACGCAATCTTCCAGGAGAAGTGCACCCACCTCTTTAAGGCAAGACAATCGCCTGCAGCTGTAGCTGAAGTAGGAGGGGTGGGCAGTGCTGCAGTCCACACTCATCTGTTGCGGCATCTCAGCCTTCGTTCTCACCATGCCCTGCTACTGAGAGATTCTCACATGCTGCTTCACAATGATCTCGATAAGCTAAAAAGGGAGCTGACCTTACCGCAAGGTGCTTGCCGGGAATACATGAGCAGCAATGACTTCAGCCAATGTACCTATCAAAGCGGACATTGGAGGGACATGCGTCAATTGAAGCCCATACTTCAGCCGCAGGAACAGATGAGAGATGCTGAATCATGTAGCATGGGAAAGGAGGATGGGGAGAACTCAACCGGCAACCAAAGGTCTACTGGACGCATCCCTACCACCTGGGGCACATGGGGCTCCGTGCAGCCTGTCGTTTTCCCCTCAGAGCTTGTGGCCGCATTTGAGGTGGAGCATGTTGACATTTTGGACCCAAGATTGGTTTTTCTGCCTTCCAAACTGCCCTTGTACGTAGGGAAAAGGCGAAAGGCAAGAGCTTCATTGCGCGAATGCCAGACAGCTTGCGTTGAGTTCCCTCCTTGTCAGCCAAGTGCAGGCGAAAAAGCAAAGCAAGGCGCAGGCCAGCAGGAAATACCACAAGCGTTTTTGCAGAAGGAGCAACCCAAGCGTCAGGAGCATCAGAAACTAGTCACACGTGGTGCTCTGGAGCAGCCGATCTGCGAAGTACAGATTTGCGTGAATGGGAAATGTAACGAGGTTAGGGCATGTTTGAGTCGGCACAGATGCGCTGCCATACTAAGGTGAGGGAACTGCCTATTGGGTCCCACTGCGGATGGTCGCGCTACAGAAGTAGGGCTGCCGATTAGTAGTAGTCCTGACAAAGGAGCTACTCCGTATGCTTGCTTTGGCTGGTGTCTGTATCCTTTGTATCCTTTGCGTGGTCCGCAGCGCTGTCGACTCCCTAAAGGCTGCCCTCTTATGTAGTGAAATCACTGCTGCTACGGCAGGATGCCCTAGCTTTGCCAGTGCCTGCAGAGCTCCCACAGGACCCAGTAGCCAGAACGAAGGCGGGGCTAACGGTGGTAAGACAAGCGAAACGGATGGAGGCTGCAGCAGAATTCCACTGTACGTTGAGGCGTCTCTCGAGTGGGAGGAACTGGGCATTTATTTACATCACCTTGACGACAGCACAGAGGGGCAGGAACGAATAGACAGAAAGACCGCATCTTTCAGCGGATTAGCTCAAGAAACAGTCAATGCGGAAGATGCTTTGCATCTGCATGCCAAGCAGGTCTCTGCACACTTTAATAATAGGAACTGCGGGACTGTTTGCAGACTGGAGATGAAGCAGTTGCTTCTGGAACAACCGTCTCTCCCAGAGGGGAGCGTCAACCGTTATATCGTGCGTGTTCCCCCCTTAGATCATTTTTCGGCTTCTAAATATGTTGCTTCAGAGTTTCCTGGGGGGGCCAGCATACAGCTGGTATTCACTAGCGGAACCTGCAGCGCATCTGGAGCCAACGCTGCCTCCATTACTACGTTTGTTCACGTTCTGCGGCCGATGACCCTCAACTTTCGTCCGACGCCTCTCATCTGGGCTGTGAACTTTTTAAAAGAGCCATTTGGGAGCTGCGTTAGCAGTGGTGGCAGGAACACCGCCGGTAACAAGAGTGGAACTTGCACTGACGGTGAAAGCAGCAGCAGTCTTTACGAAGCCCACAGCCAGCGCAAGAAGATCAGTGGGGATGCGCCACAGTTAGAGGCTAGAGCGGAGGCTGCTTTGAAAACAGGCAAGCTTGAATTAGATCCAACTACGCCTCCACATGCGGGAGAGGTTTCAGCAGAGGCATCGGGTTCATGGGTTCAGGGTGACCCGGTTCTGCGGGAGGTCCGCGTAGACTTGCAGACAGTGGATTTTCTTTGGAGCACCCGTGGCAGTGACAGACCTCTGGCAACGGCATCTGTCTCAGCAGCTTCCGTCAGCCTTCAGCTGCGCCGTTACTCAACCAAGATTACAGGCAGTGTAAAAGACCTGAAGCTACATTTCGTCACCTCCAGTATGCGGTCAGTGAAGACTGCCATCCGCAGTTCAGGCTGCAGAAGGGAATGCCGAGCTCAAGTCCAACTCAAGCAGGCGCCGTGGGAGGTGCCTCTTGAACTATGCGCCGACAAACACCTTGTACATAATCGATTAACCAAGACAGCGATACTGCAAACAACAGAGATAATTGGGCTGGTTCCTGGCAGAAGCTACGTCGTAAGCTTTTCACTAGAGTCGGTGCATCCGCTGTCACCACAGTTTTGTGGGCTCAGCTCTAATCTGAAGGTGGATGTGGGGACGTGCCGTGTTGTTTATATACATCCCAAGTTTTGGAGGCTCTTTGACTGGATGATCGATGACTTTATTGGTACTTTGACTTCTTCCCAGTCTTCTGCAGTTTCTCCTCCACAAAAAGCGAGGTTGGGGAGCATATCTGCTTCCCAGGAGGTTCCGACAAAGCGCATTGAGCGTTCACCTTCGCTTGAGGATCTAGCCATCCGTAGCGTCCTGCAGTCAGCTGCATCAGTTGCAATGCCTACTTCTCCACCTTCAGTACACAGCAATGAGAGAGAATTCACGAGTGAAGGTTTAGTCCACAGATCCTCCAAGAAGCAGCCTCTTTTAGTTCCCAACGAGGGGCTTCGGCGGATATTCCTGCTTGCGGACGCAGGGCGCTCAATCCTAGGTCTTTCGCCGTTGTTTCAAGAGCGGCAACTGGGTCCTTCTGGCAACAGCGGGGGCGACAGCGAGCTGCACCGTCTCGTACTACCTCAATCTCTTCCTTTCAGTGTCTTGCACTACGAAATTCGAATTGCTTCCCCTCGGCTTCTCTTGCCAGCCGGATGCAGACCAAACAGCAGAGTCATTCTATGGCCTCCTGTGGGCTGCACGAAGCGGGAATCATATGGGTGTCGCGTGGCTTGTGATGGCTCCTGCAGGACGACGAGTACAGCCGTCGGTGGAGGCCTTGCTACTTGCAAGAAGTGCATAGATTACTTAGCGGCTTCAGCGAGCTCAACGCATGCCGGTGCACGTGAAATTCTCTGTCTCTTAGACAGCTTCACAGTCTCAAACAGCTGGAGGCTCAGCAGGGGGCATGGCATTGTAGAGAGTATCAATGTCGAGTTTAAAGGCGCAAAGGCCTTTGCCAAGATTGACGAGTTTTCACAGAGTTTGAACAAATCGTGCAGCAAACCGGCACCAGCACCGGTAGATATACATCGTAGGAAGGGATTTGAAGCTCCGTATTGGGGAGGCACGTGCCGCCGTTGCGCTCGCCGAGTTCCGTGGTTTGCTCGTTCATCAACGGGGGGCTCATGCAGTTCTCCTGCATCCGCAGCATCCGGCGATTCAGATGCAACCGCTACCACAGACTGCGGAAGATACCTTTTTGGCAGCGCTGATGTAGTTTTTCGCATGTTTCGACCTGTTTTGCGGCTGTGCTCATCCCGTTGGCTGCGAGTGGAGGCTGGACTGTTACCTGTGATTCTCGACGTACAGACGCTGCGGCTTTTGTTCGATATCGTAGAGAACAATATTACAGCCAACGACCCAGACACTGCAGTAGAAAATGCAGGGGCATTGCTACCGGCGTGCAGTCCCACTCCGTGCAGTGGAGGGCTCCATGCCATGCACGTGAAACGGGGAACAGAAGAGCCTTCGGCGTCGAGAAGCGATGCAAGCTTCCCCATGCATTCACCAGTTCCAAACGGCGCCTTTGGAATTGCACCGCACAACTTGGAGGAAGATCTACGTGGCCTTGTTCAAACAATGCTGGGAAACCACAGACTACAGGGCCTGTTAGAGCCTCAGGTCGACTTTATCGAGCTCTTGGAAGAGTGGGGGCACGAAACCCTGCTTCTGGAGCTCGTTGTTGAAGGTTTACAGCTCGCTCTTCGTGAACAACCGTTGAAGAAAGAGGTCCGCAAGTTGCGGAAGAAATGTGGTGCCCTAAGACGATGCATCCGTGCTCTGGAACGCCGTCAAGGGCTACGGCCAAATGAGAGCAACATCAGTCAGTTTCCAGCTCAGGAAGGTGGAAGTCGAGTGCTCGCACTAGATGGGCTCCGCAAGGCCTGCGTTCCCCAGCGAGAGCCTTTCCTACTTTTTCATGCAACACGCCTAAGAGTAAGATATGCCATAGTATATGTTGTGTTAAATTGTCCGCATTTAATCAGCCACTGATGCACGATCGGAAGAACTGCAAAAGCTGCTCCTGCTTCCCTGCTTGCAAACCGGACACCTACTGTTTGTTCTTCGCTTGACGCTATCAACGGAGTGACTGTGGTGTCTTGTTGTTTTTCAGGCACAACTCCGGTCTCTTCGGCTTGAGCCAGCACAAGCCGAGCAAGTCGGTTTGCTCTTGCCAACCGCAAGCCTAGCTCATCCTTGGACTTCGTTCGTTAACATTGTCAAGGGGCAGCCAATTCTGGAGGAGGTGAGAACTTCGTCTTTAACGTCTCCTCCAGCTATGGGGACCTTCATTGGGATGAGAATCGGCTCCTGTAGCATATTTTCCCCAGAGTTTGCCCCTCCCTTTTCCGTGGTTTTTACGGATGGCGCAAGCCCACTGGGTCTCTCGCAGCAGCAGTTGGAGCCGCTTGCAGACAGTGTTCGCCAAGCGGAACAGGATGCGTTTGCAGCTGCCATTGCCACTGCCAGAATTGACGAAAGATTAGCTGCTGAAGCGGGCTCATCATCAAGTTCAGGCCCAAAGGAGGAGGAGCAGATGAAGCAGGCAGACGAGCAGCTATCCGCTTGTTCACAACAACCGCCGGTTCAGGAAGAACACCTTCTAGTGGCCCCATTTGCAGCTCCTTGGATTGAGCCCTTGCATCTGCAGGATCCGGTTGATGCTTCATCAGGCGACGAACGTGAAACAGTCTCTGGAAAACCAGTAACATCTGGTTCTGCTGGTTTTGCAGAAAGCGGGAAGCTCCCCTCGTTTGGGCCACGCGCATCTGCTCGACGACCTGGCTCCTCAGAGGTGACTTCAGGTCCACCAGTCGAAATGCCACCCTGCAGCAGAGACTATGAAGTTGTCTTTCGCTGCTGCCTGCAGTATAAGAAGCAGCAGAGAGGGGCGCAGCCATGCGTTCCTGGGCTATCGTTGGTCCCGCAGCCATCAGAGCTGACGGTCATGTATAAGTCAGCCTCGGCAATTCCAGTCATACCGATGAGTGACGGTTGCGTGCCCAGCCTTTCAAACCAACACAAGGGAATGCCGGACGAAGTCACTGAGGTTCTTCGACGGCTGCTGCATCAACGCCAGCACCGGCGGAAGCAGCAGCGTATAGCAGTATCGTCTACAGGACCTCGATGTGTGTTGAATTTGCCCCTTCTCTATCGCATCAGCGCCTTTTTATCCAATGACGAAGCCACTAGTGGGAATGCGTTTAGTCCAACAGACGCACCCGGTGACATAGCGACTGCAGTGATGAATCGTAGGGAGGGCTGGCCGTGTACAAGGAGGATTAGGAGCGTGCCGGCTCTCTCAAGCCGTTCGAGCCACTTCCGCGGAAGACTAATTGCGTCCAACAGATATGCAAGTCGTGGCAACAATCAATGGAATCTTAAGCAGGGCCCGGCATCGTGTTTGCCGCACGACGAGGATACGAGGGATCATAAGCCGAAGCAAGGCAGCAGCAGCGATTCAGCAGTGAGCAACCGAATTAGCTGCTCACTGAAGTGTTCTAGACAGAAGGCGGCATTGCGCTCAGGGACGCCTTCTGTTGAAGGAGAGCTTACCCAATTTGGCAACAGAGCGCTTGCCCTCTGCTGCTCCTCCTTCGACTCGGCCAAACACTTTGCGGCAGGGCGTGGCGGCCGATGCAGCAGCGAAGCCCTGCCGGAGCATGTAGAAGATGGTCCAACTGATGCAGCCACCAGCGTGCATGACTGCGAGACCAGTAGCAGACAGACTCACAAAGTTGGTGGCGATCCTCTGCTGTTCCGCCGCAGTGCATCTTCTAGAGAAACTGCTGCGGTGGCAACACCAAAAAGGCAAGAGCTCCCACCATTGCAACTCAAGTCTATGGAAGTATCAGTGCGCTTATCTGAGGCGTCATTGCTACTGCCTGTGGACAGCAGAAGCTGTGAGAGCAGTTCAGTGCTACTTCATGGATCGGTCAATCTGCATCGGCGCGCGGATGATGTTCGGGATCCCATAGGGCCTCAAGGTTTATCCGAAGATGCAAAATTGGCAGCGGGAGCGTACGAAAATATTCAAGGAGGTGGCAACAAGGGGAAAAAAGAGTCTTTTTGGGTATGCGAAACTTCAAGTACCGCCGCAGCCGAGGAGGAGCGAACACCAGAACAGATGCTGCAGCAAGAAGAAGCTTTCTGGAAAGGTACAACTAAGTTCCTCGGCAACATTCCGGACAGATTCTGCCCGGGAGTCCGAGGTTTTGATGTTTTGCTGCAGAGCGCAGCGGTCACCTGCCTGCCTACCAGCGCGCCTTTACAACCCATTTGTGGCAGTTCAGACGATGTTTCTAACGGACGGATATACTTAGATTTACGCAGCTCCAGACGTCTGCGATGGGCTCGAGGCGGGCGCAAGTACACAGGCGCTCCACCCGAAGTATCCGCGCGGAGGGACCTGGACGGGGTGAGTCGTAAGTTTTTGGTGTCAGAAGAGCTGAAGTCTGCTGCGGGACAGAGGGATGTGGAAGCTCATCTGAGGCGTGTGGGGCGTGCTACTCCGTCGAGCGAGGACCCTTCGGCCGCTGGAAGTACCCTATCTCCCAATTCCAATGTCAAGAGCCAGGGCAAGTTTCACCCGAACGCCAAGGTACCTGGATCAGCTGCACGCCATGACGAGAGTTTGCTTATCACAAACTCGGAGGCCAGCGTTACACAATTTCACAGCAATGCAAGGAGTATCTGCAGTGGTTTGAGGGCGCAAATTAGTCATGCTTTCATCCCGCCGGCTGCTCGTTGCCGTCGGCAAGAAAGCGACGTCTCACTAACCGTATCTACTGCAGCTCGAAGAGGTATTGGCGATTCCTCCGGAAGCAGCTGTGAGGGCCAGCAGCATCAAAACGTAGGATACAGTCATGAGAGTTGCTGCTGCTGCCTTATTAATGGAACGGATTCCAATGGCGGGCGAGTGGATGAAGGACCTTGCGGGCTCCCGTGCGACTGCTGCTGCCACCATCCACAGGAGTACACAGCTCTTCAAGCCTCCCCTTGCGAATTGGAGTTGTCGTACCTGGATTGTCTTTTGATCTGGCGCTGTGCTGCTGAACAGATGATGCAGCTGGAACAACACCAGAAGATGCAACAAGCGCAAGTGGCTATGTTGCAGCGGCTTCTCCATCGCAGCGCGGTTTTGGAACAACAGTTCTCCGTGAAACAGAGCCTCCTTCACAAGCAGTACACGGGTGACGATCAGACACCGGCATCACCCGCATCAGCTTCGTTCCCGTTTACATGCGCTGTCTCTCCACAAGCTCAGCGATGGACCCATAGGAGATTAGTATATCCAAACGCAGCAGCAGCTTCTTCCCTTGCACAACAGGAGAGGGAAGTTACTCCAACATATCCCCGTCAGCGCCATGTGTCTGCACGCTTGCCGCTACTGCGAGTTACCCTTCTTAACGACCACTTGGACTATCTTCAAGCACCTCTTCTCCAGATGCTGGTGCTTAACTGCAGGCTCTCTCAGGCCTGCTCTCTCTTGCCTCCTCAGGATACGGATACTACACCCTTGTGGGTGCAACAGCAGTCGCCAAAGCCGGAATCCTCTTCTGTAAGCCTATTAAACGCATCACTGCGGCTGTGGGCCTTCAATCCTCTTGCTGTTGCCTTCGAGCCCGTAGTGGAATCCCTGCCTCTCTCGCTGGTTGTGCGGGAAGCGCCATACTCATTAATGCGGTTCGCTTACAGCTCCTGCTGCGACGACGATTCTCTAGCATTAAGTGCGGGACACCGTGTCTTCGGAAGGTGGCAGCTGCAGCACAGGCCTTCGTGGTCATCATCGCCCTCGTCAGTCCAGGGGAGTAGCCAGGGGGCATTGGTGGAGACGGCTCCAAGCCCAGCTTTTAAACCATGGCAGCAAATGAGCAGCATCAACAGCAGCATCTGCAGTACAAGCAGCACTGGGAATGATTCGGCTTGCCCTGTGGCTCCAGTTCGCTTCCATTTTTCAAGAAGCTCTGCAGCTCGCGACGCTTGTGCTTTCGAAAGCCAGCAGGGTTCCAGCAGCAGCGAACATGGCACGAATGTTCCACTGGAAGGCCTGAGGAAGGAGCCGTTGCTGCGTCGCCACACCTCAGGCGAAGCTAGCATGAACAGCATGCATCGGCAAGGAAGCCGAGCATTTCTCCCGCATTCAGGAACTGAAGGAACCGCGGATGGTTGCAGCAGCGTCGAGTGCACATCTACCACGGATGCCGCATCTTCCTCGAAGCGGTACGTGGGCATTTTTGTGTCTTCCACGGAGGGAAGCAGCATCGAAGCAAACTTATCTCCTTTGCTTTTGCAGTCCGTCCTAGGGAGCCTTTGCAAATGGCACCGCGACTTTGTCCACAACATGCAACAGCAGCAGCAACAACGGCGACGGAAGATATGTCGCAGTGCCAGTCTCTGTGGCAAAGGCACTAGGTTGTCACAGGCGTGCCAGCAGCTGCTTCCAGGTTATCATCAGCAGAAACCGATTCAGCTCCAAGAGAAGCTGCCAGGTTCGCCGAATCATAAGAAGAGTCAGTGTTCAGGGGGGCGCGAAGAGGAGCATGGCGAAGCACCAGAAGTGAGCGACGGGCGGAAACAAAATCTTGTTGCCGATAACATGAGCCTTCAGAGGCGCCCATCTCGTTCCGTGGATGCGTCGCCTATTTGCCTCTCTCCTGTTCAGGACAGGTACGCGGAAAGGCGCCACAGCTTGTGCAGCTCACTGCCTGAAGTAACTGTAATTGATGGGCCTCTAGACCGACAGCTAGGTCAACAGGAGCCAAAGCCATTTCGCGAGGCTGCGGCTCCGAAGCGGGGCAAGCAATTCATCCCGTACCATGTTGTGAACCAGACGGGGCTGCACCTGGGAATTTTGCTTCTACGCACACCAGCAGAGGTACGGGCGCCAGGCTCCGAGGGGCTATCTGGAAGTAATGCAACTCATGCCACCGCAGCAGTTCATTTGGGACTCCCTCCTACTCTAAGGCGATGCAGGCGCCACAACAGAAACGTAGGGGCTTGCGAGCAAGACAGCAGCAGCGTTGATAGCAATAGCAGTACCAGTGAAGCAGAAGCTGGGCGCGCTTTAGCGGGAGTCCCCATTCATTGGGGCTTTGGATTGCCTTTACAGACAGTGCCTCGTGGATCTCGTGGATCCGCAGGCACCGCAGCAAATGCGAGCGATAAAGAGACGCTGTCTTGCCCCTCATCACCCTCCTCTGCTAGTGAAAAACCAACTCGCTTTAAGGCGTGGAAAAATTCTGCAAGCTGGGACTGGCTCAAGCCTTCGGAGGAAAAGGCGCTGACGCAGATGAGGGTTCCCATTGGCACAGCTTCAACCGCTCATGTTGCACTACAGCTCGCCAAGCAGCCCATCCGAGAGATTGCTGCAGAAGGGCCGTTGGTGACGAATACTGGGAGGTGGAGCGGCGCTGAACGTGACGTCCATGCAGATGGTTCCTCCAGGCGGTGGAGGCTACGCATGCCAGTACCACTTGATCGAGTTGGCGTGTACATCCAGCCTCTAGCTGACGTGAAGACAGCAGGCACACAGAAGCAGAAAGTTCCCTTTGTTGTCTGCCGGCTCATTGTCGACACAGGAACCAAACAGCTCCTGGTGCAGTCACAAGTGGTGTTGCGCAGCTCTTGCAGCGTTCCACTTCAAGTCATGCTGCTTTCTTCTCTTGAAACCGCTAGCCATGGGCCGCAGAAGAAGCACCCACTCCCGGAGGACAGCGAAGAGTCGGAGAGGCTAAGTGGCCTTCTCTTAAAGCCAGGGAAAAGCTTGGCTATTCCCGTAGACTGTACGTCCATGCGCCGTGTTCACCAACGTGCCGCTTGGCTCCCCTGTGGTGACGGATGCACAGCAGAGTAAACTGGTAAAGAGAAGATTATCTGCTTGCAGTTGAAGGCCTCCTACGCCTTGTGCGTGCGCCTTTGCCTTTTCTGCGCAGTGTGCTTTACAGGAAGATTACGAATTCGGCCTGTGCAGGCTGGCAAGACATACAGCTGGTCCAGGGATCTAAGCCTTGGCATGCTGTGGCAGGCTGTCGACGGGGCAGAACAACAGAAGCCCACTGGAGGTGGGGAACCTGACAAGGCTGAGCAGGGTGCTTCCAGACGGAGCCTTCCCAAGTCAGAACTGCTGCGCTGCTGCCCGCTCATTGGCGGCAGTATCAAACAGAGTTGCTTGGGCGTGGCAAGGAATCACTTGTCATACAACGAGAACGTTCCAAAGGAGCATAATCGGGAAGAGAACAAGAAGCTCCGGGAGCCTGAGTACCACGTCGTGGTTTTGTATAGACTTGATCGGCTGGTTCACTCGTCCTTTTCTTGTATGCAGCTCAATGTGTTGCTTGAAGCTCCTTTACGGCTTGCCAGTAATATCCCATTTCCGGTCAGGTGGGGAGCAACACGTTCCTCCCTTCCCCAATTTTCCTTGGGGAGTGTTTTACTCTTAAGTGTGGAATGCACCAGCTCGGCGCAAATGTTAATGCTTTTGGACAGCCGCGGGGGACGGGCGCCAGGTTGGTTTTGTTGATGTGGCTGCGATGTTTGTAGATACCGTATTCACTGTCCGCTGGCCCTGAAAGCTGGAGAGGATCCACCAGGAGACTCGGAGGGTCTGCTTCAGCTAAACGAGTGGCAGCACGTACATTCTTTCCCCTTAGCAGGTATCGTTGTACCGCTGCAACCTACATGTTGTTCCTCAGCGAGCAGATACCAGGGGCCCACTAGCCTTTATCAATGAATGGTTGGGGAGGCCAGGGGAGCTGTTGATGGGCTCATTTGCAGATGCAGAAAATTTTGCTCTTTTTCGAGTATGTCCTATGGGCGCGTCTGTGCTTGACATAAGAAAGTAAGTCCTTCCCATTCAGCGCAGGACGACCTGACTTATGCCTTGCTGGTGTGTGGTCCTCAGGGGTGGCCTTCCTTTCTATCTCGCTAGCAGATGGTCAGTGGTCGAAACGAACTCAAGTCCATCCAAGACCCCTACAGCGAAGGCGCCCTCCACCAACTGCTCCGAATGCAACCGTTGCCGGAGCATCAGCAGCTTTGGCGCCTCCTACAGGGGGAGGTCAGGCCCCGGCGGACTGTCTCACGGGAGGAGCCCCTGACGCTGGGAAACTAGAATCTTCAGGGGGTACGGTAACGGGAGAAACCATTGTGGAGGTGAGGCATCTTGTCCGTAATTTCTGATAACTGTTGTACTGGAATAAGCCTCGGTGATTACTCCTAAGGCCTACTTCGTTGTATCACTGCTGCAGGTCGAATGCTTTGACAGCAAATATCGTTCTGCCAAGATATGGGTTATCTTTTGTGACTCCAGCGGTGGCACGTGCTTGCTGCTCCATTCGCCCGTATGGCTTGTGTCGCACATCCAGTGGGCATTACAAAGGCAGTGGCTGAAGCAGCCGCAGCAGCAAGGCCAGGACAACCCTGCAGAACCACAGGATAAGAGGCTGCCTGTTGTTGAATACAGCGTCATCCGTCGCAGCAATCCGGCAGAGTTAGGGTGGGCAATGCAGGCAGTTTCAGCAGCCGCTGCGGCAGTCGACCTTAACAGGGATGCAGAACAGCCAAAACCCTCTAGGCTCCCGAACTTCACATGTCGTAGCGGCCTTAGGAAGGACTGCAGCGGAGAAATTCGACTACTTGATTTTGGCGTAAGTCAAAATGCCTCGCTCGCGTTATGGCTGTCACTGAAAACTTCTGCGCTATAAGTTGAGGTCATGCAGTCGATGAAACTTTGGCTCTAACCGTAGCGAGCTGGCTACAGAATTGCAGTGAAGCGTATCTGGGAGCACTAAACTTTCTGCTCGTGGCGTTTTCATCGGCGCGAGCCGTCTGGTGAGATTCCTCACCTGTAGTGTGTTTATGATGGTTCCTTTTGGTCCCCATTTGGGTTCTATCTCTGTGCCATGTAGACCTCGTCCATTCGCGTGGAAGCGGAAGCGATTGGTTGTTCCCAGTTTTTGGACATCTGGAAAGACTTTCCCAGGATGCTGAGCGTGTCAGCCTCGTGCACCGAGGATTTAAGCGCAGGCTCAAGAGACAAATCAACCGTGTATCAAGGCAGCAGAACGGAGCACACAAGCGGCACGCCTTCCAGCCTTTGCGAAGGAGGGCCTTCGCTTGGCAGTGCAATGGGGGGCCCGTGCTTGGACATTGTTGCTACAATGTCCGAAGCTCCTCTGCCGCTTTTACGTCCCGTCCTGTTATTGACATTCTCCCCTATGTACACTATAACTAGTCAGTGTCCTTTCCCTATCAGAGTGCGGCAAGCTCGGTCAGGCTGCCCCTGCAGTGACGGGAGGAGTGCCGATTGCGGAATTGTTGACTTCACGCTGCAGATACAGCCCCATCACACCGAAGCTTTGGTTTGGCAGTTTAAGGAGGGCAGTCGAGCAATACAGCTGCAGGGGTGAGGGTCTTTGAAGTGTCAGTTTTTGTTGCATCAGCAGTTGTCTAGGTCTTCTGTCTATTCGATAGTTTGGCTCTGCCATGAAATTTGCCTCCAGCAGGCCATAGGTTTGTTTGTACTGAAACTGAACAGATTTTCTCTGGGTAGCTTAGACCGTGAGCGCGTACGTTTGCTTGGATGCTGTTTGGATGCGTGATGTGCTTTCGCCTGCCAACGATTGCTGCGTTTATAGGTCGATGCCCACTTTATGCTGGCTCCAAGGGGGATGCAAACGCGGAGCCTCGACGCACCTTGACAGCGGGCCCACCGAAGTAGTGTGGAGCGCATGGTCAGGCTACTCTTCCTTGTGCCTACCTGGGGAGGATTGGTGTCTTCGCCTACCATCTGCGCCTTCGACGTTACCAAGGACTACACTAGAGACAGTGGCGACCCACAGGAGCGGCTCCAGCTGCTCTGAATCATCGCTGCAATTCGGCGAGTGCGATTTTGAGGAAAAGGGGCACCTACACGAGAACTCTCAAGGAGAACTATATCCGATGCCAGCAATCGAGCCACAAGAGCTTCTAGGCGCCCTTTTGCGTCGGGGAGTCTCTGTTCAGATCTGTGGAAGTCAGCCCGCAAAGTGGCACCTGTCGGAACGGTTTACAAGGCGAGCTTTTTCGACTGCTTGGTGCTCGGCCTTGCGCTTAGGGTCAGCAGAGGGTCCAGCCAACACTCTCAACTTGACAGTCCAGATGGAAACCTTTGATATGAGGGATACGGTTTCAATTTGCAACGGCACGCCGTTGCCTTTATTGCTGCGCCAGTGTCGCCACAGTGACACTCAAGCAGGCAAAGGAGCTGACCCAGAGAGCTGCCAGGAATCTGCGGTGGCTCAGAAACTTGGTTTGACCGACGCTGCGGCCTTTGGTATGGACTCTGTTGCTGCAGCTGTGGCAGAGCTGTGGGGAGCAGCCAAGCATGGCGAAAGATTGCAGCAACACCAACGGAACCTTGACAAGGGGGATAGCTTTGTTCACCATGACCGTGGCAGTGTGGGGTGGCACAGTAGGTCGACGCAACTTCTCAACATGCTATTGGAGGCTCAGAAATGCGCAGAACAACAGCGGAGAACCAGGAAGCCGACTGGCGCTTTCCCCTTCCACTCTTCCGAGGCCGTTTACATTTCCGCCGCTCCCCATGAAGAAGGCACTCATCTGCAGTTGGACCGGTTAGCTCGCGTTGCCAGCGCTGCTGCTGCGCAAAAAGCAAAGGAGCAGCCGCAGCATCAGACTGGCAAGGACAGCACTTCCAATGCTTGCTGTTGGTGCAGTTTTGAGTCTGCAGTGTCCGAGGAGTTATGCGCAATGCAGAAAGAGGCGCTGGAAGGGACTGTGAGTGGCGCGGGTGACTCAGTACCCTCGAACTTGGCGCTTCTACCTCAGCTCGTGCTTCCAGGAGAGACTGTACTGTTTACTTGGGATGACTACCGATGCTTGCCGTGTATTGAGCTCACCTACTTTCCGTGGTTGCAGCAGCACAACGAGGAGAGAAGTTCAGTCATTACGAAGAAATCTGGTGCCAGCAGGTTTTGCAAAGCAGTTTCCCCTGTAACGGAGTATCCTTCGTTCGACACGCCCTTTGTTGTTTGCATTCCTCTCCGTCCGGATGTATGCGGCGTTGTGCCACTCTCGCCGTTACCCTCTTCCCACTGGCTACTATTCAGAGTCGTTCGCCGTGCTGGAAGACTGCTGCTGCATATCGCTCCCGCTGGAGAAGTATTGGGGGTGACAAATTCGTCTCCGCACAGCCAGGCTGGGCGCACCCATCCTGATAATATATGCCAGCTGGACAGTAAGAGTTCTCATGTGTCCGATTGGTCAAAAGCTACAAATGCACAGGCCGGGAGCCCCATGCTAGCATGGGCTGAGGCGGATACCGAAAAAGTGTCCGCGTCACGGGATGACGTTGACGTACACTCTTTACTTCTCGTCCCCCGTTACTTCCAGCTGCCCATGGTGAACATGGACCTAACCGCGGGATGTTCTCGTAGCAGGGAAACCAGCAGTGGCAGCATTGGGCGTGTTCCCCCTTGGTCATTTGCATCCATGTGCAAATTTGCTGGGACAGTTGTGGGATCGTACGCGTCTGACCGAAAGGCTAAGCCAGCTGCTGTACAGGCTAGTAAACCTGCCAAGAGTGACTCAAAGGGCGGTGATGCCGCTAGTAGGATGCTTCCCGTGCAGCCAACCCCTGATCCCCCGACGTTTGAACTTCGCATTCAGATTCCGCGTTTGCAGTTTTCTGTATTATCACAGGGAGCAGTTGTTGATCCACTGTCTCGTCAGGTATGGAAGCAATTCATTTCAGGAAGGGATGTAGTTAGAAAGCTGCTAGATAGCATTTGCCACTGTTTACGTGAATGTCGAACCTTCATCATCAGCAGTCTGAGGCGGTAACCTAGCGGTCCTCTCTCCAGGGAAAGGATGCATTAAGAGGCATTTTATGTACACGTATGAAAAAAAGTTTATTCTTTTGGGGAGCCTGACATTGGTAGTTCCCATGCCTGTTTCCTCTTTAGACCTTCCGCCTTCCCGAGGAGCTATTTCTCGTCGCATTTGAAGATATCTCGGCTACCTACTTCTGCAGTGCATTTCACAGCGCTGCAGCATGCAGAATACACGAGTTGCAGGTAAGCGCTTATAGAGTGGGTCTCCTGCAGAAGTGTCCGGGCATTTAGATGCTGTGGCAGCCCCCGAGCACTCCTTTATCGCAGCTGGCTACGGCTGGCGGGCAGCAGGTTTCCGTTAGTGGTTGCTGCGTCCATTCAGTGGTTTCTTGCAATTGGGAGATATGGTGCGCTGTGTGGTGCCATGCTGCCCTCGTTGGCTCAGATAGATTCGATGCACTCCCAGGCGTACTACCCAGTGCTTCTTCAAAGGGCCCCTCCCATGCCTAGCGAGGTTAGCCTTATCAGCCTGCTAGCTTCAACTTCAGCTATGCAGCTCATCTTGCCTCGACCGGATACCTATTGACCAGCCGCGTGCTCTCGTTTTTCTGCAGGCCGGTTCAACCACTGAAAGCAACATCATTCAGGTCTCTCGAACAGCAGGTTCCACACGCACGAACAGAGAAGAAGGGGACACCCGCAGCGGAGAGTCTCACGTTTCGGCTTCTAATTCAAAGGACGGCGGCGCCCTAGTTGAGTTCTTGCTGCAACAGAGACAACCATTTAATGGTAGCCGTGGGGACCGGGTTGTTGTGGTCGACAAGTGTAGCCTGGCTCTGAAGGTTAGACCTCACTCACATTTCTTTTTGGGTGCATCTGTCGCATTTCAGCCTTGTAGAGTACATGACATGGAATTTCTTATATATACAGTGGCTGCAAGTGGAGTCCCTCATGCTTAATCCTGAATTTGTGCACATCACAATACGCTCCCTCCTCGGATACCGTCGCCTCTTGGAGCTTGGTTGGTTGTATTGTGCAGCCAGTGAGCGTCCGGACTGATTTAAAGAGCCTCTACATGGCATCTGATGCGTTGAGTTGCTGGCGCTCTGCCTGGGCTGCTGCCACCACATCTATGAGCCGGCATAATCCCGAAATGGCATCATGCATTCCAGCGTCTTGTAACCATCAGCGAGGGCCTGAGAGACCTTCCACGGGAAATATAAAACCGTCGGCTTTGCACAGAGGAGGCATCTTGCCAGACGATAAGGATCTAGAGTACCACTATGCTACCCAGTGCGGCTTAGCCTGGGCGTGCAAAGGCTGCAAGGCTTGCCAGTCCCCCTTCTCTCTCTTCGTATCCCATATCGCCGGCACAGGCTTGGTCCTTCTCCCTACTCCGCTGGCCGTACATCCATGGGTGTTCAAGCCAAAGAAACCCACTGTCCAGGAACCCATTCACACGTTCAGCCAGCAGCGGGAGCAGCGCTACATTTTTCGGGTGCTCACGGTAGCAAAGACATGCGTTGTGCTCTCGTTCAAGGCGGACACAGGGGGCAATAGTAGCGCACTGCGCCGGTCAGTCGTGACTCTCTCGTCACTCGAAGATGCGCGGTTTGACGTGGATGGGCTGCATATGACAAGCCGAGAACTAGTGGCCCAGCTCAAAGATTTGCACGAGCAACAGCGGCTGCATCTGCACCAGGAGAGCCCTCTCCTCACAAAATTGACAGAGCACCACAGGCATCCAGCTCTCGCGTTGAGAGATGTCGCGAGGGTGGCAGGGAATTTTTACCAGCAACAGCTTCTATCACGCCTATCCAAGCTTCTGGTTTCGGTCGATCTTCTAGGTAGGTTGGCAAGCTTCCCATGAGAAAATCCGGCTTTTTTCCACAGGGCCACTGCCAGTGTAGCAAGCCTGCGAAAATAGTTTCTTGGTTTTGGCGGCCAAGACCTGCTTCTGCCTGTTGAAACCAACTTTCCTGAAGTCCTGTTTGTTCAGCTAGCACTGCCTCTTTTCAAGAACTCTTAGACAACCGCTTGGCAGCCGTTTGATAGGCAGTATGGTTGGTAGGCAATGCGCGTAGCCGAGTACAGAATACAGCTACGTGGATTCAGCAGTAAATGCATATTGTTGCCTTTATTGGTGGCTGCAAACTTTGTGGTTTTCTCTGTGCGGTGCAGGCAACCCTGCTCTGTCTTTTGCGCACCTCCAGGCAGGTGTGTACGCACTGGCCAAGCAGCCAATTGAGGCTGCTGAGACTGGTGGGGATGTTTTCGAAGGGATGATGAGGGGGGCAGAAGATTTTCTGAAGCACACTGGTGAGCTGTTTACAGGAGTGAGTGCTAGGGGTGGCAGATTACCTGTGCGCAAATAACCTTTTGTTAAGGATGGGTTTTCGAAATGTCTAATCTAGGGTATTTGCAGACTCACCAAGGCAGAGCTTTGCAGCCTGCCCTTGGCTCTACGCTTGACATGCGTGATTGAGTCTGCCCTGATCAGAGGCTAGCCATGATATGCAGTGCACATAACAGTAGCCTGCGCAGTGAATCGTGAAGTGTTTTTCCTAACTGCTAACCGTGTTTTGACTCCCCGCCGTTGTGCTCGATCCAAACCAATCTTTGTCTCTACAGGGTATGGCTTTTTCGGGGGCATCAGTCGAATGGCAGGGGTGGCCTCGGACTCGCTTGGAGCGCTGGCTTGTGACGAAGTTTATGTGCACACCAGAAAGCAGCATGGCAGGCACAAGGCGCGTAACGTGGAGGAGGGCCTCCAGCAGGGGGTCGAGGCCCTTGGCCGGGCTCTCGCTGGTGGTTTCACAGGTACATCACACCGCTAGGGGAGTAGTGTCTTGCACCCTTTTTCATCAATTTAAAGATAACCAGGCAACTCCAACGTTTTTACTGGCCATTGAATAGCAGTGTGCATCTGTGTGTTTGACGGCCCGCGTAGGCCTTGTGGAAGAACCGGTAAGGGGAGCTGCTGAAGGTGGATTTGAGGGACTGTTGCGCGGGGCTGGCAGAGGCATTGCGGGTTTCCTTGTCAAGCCATTGACAGGAGTGCTGGATTTAGCACACAAAACCGCCGAAGCCATAAAGGTAACTCCTTCTTTGGCATTACCTTTGGTGCTCGCGGCGAGCACCAGCAACGTCCCTCCCTCGTTTTTGATAGTCTGTGAGCCATAGTTCCGAACCTGTCCGGCTATTTACCCCTCACACGAGCAGGAGAGCAGGTTTTGCTGTGCCTCTTTCGTTGTAGGATGCCTCTCAAGTTGAAGGTCGCCAGCGTCCGAGATTCCGGCTACCGCGCCTTCTCCTCGGGGATTTCCGCTTGCTGGTTGCATACGATGCCGAAGCAGCTGAAGCGAAAGCAATTTTAACAGATGCGGAGGGGCAATATTGGTGAGGTGCACACCGCAGTTTATCTGCGTTGCCTCTGTACACGAAGGGACACACTGAGTGTACTGGTCAGTTCTGCATGCCTAGGGGGACGTTTGAGATAGGATGTTTCTTGCTTTTCTCAAGCTGGCCTTGCTGGGCACCGAACAGGGCCCACATTGGGCTGCTTCCGCTACTCAGGAGCGCGAGTTGGCGTGCACTGACTGTTGTAGCCATTCTTTTCACTTGACCGTCTTCTGTGAATGCTACTTGCGCAGGGAGAACTTGCCAGTGCTATTTTTCGCCCTAGACCGCCGCCTTCAAACTCTTACTGTTCTCACAGCTAGCAACATTTTGCTTTTCAAGTACTATTCGCGGAACCATGCTGAGCTTCGGTTCCTTGCTCCGATCTCGTGTTTGCTGGCTGTTGGCCACTGCAGCACGCCAAACAGCAGCATCAGTAGCCCCAGCAACAGAAACAGCAAGATTCGATCCTCCAGCTTTATGGACCGTCATGCTTTGGTACTGCAACTTCGTCAAGAGGGGGAATCGGGAGTTTACTACCAGCAGCTGTTGTATTCGAGTGCTCGGCTGCAAGGGCACATTCTGAATTCCTTGAGACTCCTGCTGCTTCAGTGATAGGCTCGCATGTCGTGTCCCACGCAGTGCTGCTGGCAGGCGGCCCAGCAAACGAAGCAGCATCAATCCGTGCGGCTTCAAAGTGCTTGAACATTCGAATTGTGTTGTAGAGTAATTCACTTATCGTCAAGACCAAGTAAATTTTTTTTGTCTGCTTGTCAATTTGGAGGCGAAGTTAGGCACAGGAGTTGGGGAGTAGAGAAATGCGTATATCCTGCCTGGTCTACCTTTTAATATTTCCGAGGCCAATATGCACCGTGCGTTCCTGGATCGGCTGCCTACTTAGGCACGAGATGTTCTGCAGTTTGGTAGATGCCTGTTTATATGGCCTTTTGGTGTATGGAATCAACTGAATTGATTATTCCCCCTACGGAAGACGAAATTCTTGTTAAATATAAACCAAGTACAGCTGCGCCAAGACCCGAGGATGAAGTTTCTCTACTTTCCTCAGCCCAATCTTGCGGGGCAGTTAAACTTTTGGGCCTGCTTGGACATGGGCAGAGCTGTGTCAATCCTCCAAATACTGAGATATCGTGAGATATCCTTAGACAACGACCTGCTGAAAGAAATTTGTTCTTCCAAAAAGCCCAGTAGAGAACGTCAGCATATCAAAAGCTTGCCTAAATCAGGCTGTGGGCCGGATAAGTCTGCCCTGACGAAGCTGTGAGCGTTCCGTGATTGTCCTATAGTTGCATTCGTGGGCTTTCTGATGGGGAACGAGCTTTTGGGTTCTTATTGTCGTCTGCATAGGCTTTCGGTAATCAGGACTCTTTTTCTGTTTCAGTATGAATGGTGTGAATACTGCCTATACAGTCGTAATCTACCGCGCAATTTTCGCCTTAGTGGGGCTGAAAGCCGTTCACGTTGATCGGGCCTACTAGCAGTTCACGCGTATTCAGCTGCGTTAAGTGCATTAGGGTTGGGCGGTGAAGAGGGGCTATATTCCTTCTTTTGCGTTGCCACTTTCTCTCGCCTCGGTGGCGGCGTCTCAGCTAGAGTAGGCGAGCAACCAGACTGCGGGATGTCCTCTTCCCTTCGAAGGGAAGAGAGCTACTAGCGAGGAGCTCCCTCTTTTCCTTCTGTCGAGGGAAGAGGCAAAGCATGGAGTTTTCTGCATTTTAACGAGGGAATACTTTTGTGAATCAGAGCGGTGAAACAGCGGATGCAAGCGAGACAACTTGTACGTAGTCGCAGCTTGCCATCGCTAACATCTTCTGAAATTGGAACGGGCTCTCCAATACACCGGGGGAAATTTTGCATTCTAGCAATATTTGTAACTCCACTGAGTGAGCCAACTCGGAAGGTTGGTGGTTTACCACCAAACAAACTCGAACTATGCCCTGAACCTGAAACACCACGCGAATATTGGGCTTTATGTCAATGCGGAAACAGTGCTAAACCCTGTTATGCTCAGGGGAAATGCTCATCGACGCTTTTTTTGCTGATCGTATGAGTTCCACAAGGGTCCAGTGATCAGTAGACAAGGGGGCTAGCAATTCACCTCGCCACTGTCTCAAACTCACTCGTCGCCTTGAGCGCCCTCTCCCATATGCACGCGGCAGCTTGCAAGAAAGAGCGC